CCCCTCGGGTGGCATTCTTTTTCAGCCGCGTCATGAACGAGGAGGTCATCGAGCGCCTGCTGCGCAAATACGGCGTGCGCAACATCGCCCGGGTCACCACCACCAAGGACACCCCGACCAAGGAGCAGGCGTCGCTCTTCTACAACTCGGGCCTCATCCTCTCGCCTCACTCCTCGCAGCTGGTGAACTTGGTCTTCACCCCGGCCAATGCCTCCATCATTGAGATGGCCCCGGCCTACTTCAACAGCGACTTCTCGCAAATCGCCGAGGTCCTGACGCAGAACTACCACTTTGTCATCGGCGGCTATGCCACCGGCGACCCTGTGTCCCTGACCACCGAGGAGAAGGCCCACCTGGCCATGTGCAACGCCCGGTATGCCTACTGCAATGGGCGTCTGGACAAGTGCTCGGTCCGGGCCTCCTTCGAAAACATCAAGGACCACCAGCCCAAGGGCAACTGCAGCTCCGGCAGCCCGGCCTACGCCAAGTACTCGAAGGCCGTCAAGTCCCGGGACTTCTATGTCGACGAGGCTGGCCTGGAGCGTGCCATCAAGTCCGCCCTGTACCGCCTGCACCAGGCCTGCGGCGGTAGCTGGCCAGGGGCCGACCCGGCTGCCCTCAACGAGCCGGCGCTGTCGTGGCTCCTGCCAGCATGAAGGAGAAGGAGAAGATGATGATGCGCGTTCGCGCGCGCGCACAAGGCACTCCACTTGTGCGGGGCATCATCTGCCTGCGCCATGGCATGCGGGACCATATACCTTGGACATGTGGTTCTTTCTCCATCTCTGTCTGTCTGTCTGTCTCTCTCTCTCTCTCTGCCTTGCTCTTTCTCCTACTTTCTTTCTTTGTCCCTCTCCCCCTCCCTCCCCCCTCTCTCCCTCTCCCCGTCTCCCTGCCTCTCTCTCTCTCTCTCTTTCTCTCCGTTCTGTCTTTCGCTCTCTCCCCCTCTCTCTCTCTCCGCCTCTCGTCTGCGCTCTTTGCTTCTGCCCCAGGCCCCCCTCCCTCGACAAACCCTCTCCCTCGCACACACACACACACATCCGTCCATGTGCTATGGATGTCCCAGCCCGTGGTGTCGAAGTGCATCTCATGCGTCAGCTAGAGGACACTAGATGGACATGCGCCCGGGTAGAGCCCGGAAAGGGCCCGAAGAAAGAGCGAGGCGAGTCGATGGGCGCTGTGACCCCAGGGAAAGAGCAGATAAAAGCTCGACAGGGGAGGGCAAGCGCACAGAGCAAGAGTAAGCAAGAGGGAGCAAGGGCGAGAGAGAGAGAGAGAGAGAGCCGAGCAGAAAGCAGGAACGAGACAGCGAAGCGAGGTGGAAGGAGGTGGGGGCTGGTCGTGCGTGCGTGCGTTCCCACGCGCGTTTCCCCCAATGTCCTTGTTCGATTTTCCCGGTGCCCCCCTCCTCCCTCCTCCCCTCTGGCACGTTGCCATTTCTCGTCGATATATTGTGAATGCTACGCGGCCATAGAAGTCTGCCTGCCTCTCCCCCCGCCCCCCCCCCCCTCTCTCTCTCCCTCCTCTCACGCCGCCCACTTCTGTGGTGGTGCGTCTGGCCCGCGCCACATCCGATCAATAAAATACACCCCATACGTGTGTGTGTGTGTGCATGTGGAAATCTTGCCTATCAGTGGTACACATTTCACAGGGGCAGCCCCTCGTCGGCGGCACTGGTTTTTGTCTTCTTCGTCGTCTTCTTCTTCTTCTCTCTCTCTCTCTCTCTATCTGCCC